TCCCTTATCCCGCCATTTTCCTGAGGGATGAGGGGGAGTAATGGCCATCCCACTGTTGCTACAGGAAGTCTGTTGGATGCTGTTCCAAGGAAAATTGGAAACGTCACTTTAATTCTTTTAGGGCTAATTGTGTGACTGAGTTCAGTGGGAATTTTGTCCCCGACTTCTGCAGGGGCAGGGTACACGATACACATGGGCTTGATTTGGATATTGCTAAGAGGAATGGGTTGACTGCAAAGTTGCCATCTGCTACCAGGACCCTGATTTTAGACCTTTCCCTATGTCCACAGTGGATGACCAGGGTTAGCAGTGATGGGAGTTGTTACCTGGTTCCTTAGCGCCTGCGCTCACTCTGTGACGAAGGAAGGGGGAAGTTTTTCTTTGTAGTACACTGGGACATTCAACATTACAAACAAACTTGCAAGATGGAAACTTCCAACTATGCAGTCGGTCCTGGCACAGGCGACTCGTCTCTGATGGGTCATGCCCATTGGAAAGGTGCACGCTGCGTTGTTCAGCCTCTGCAGAGGTTAAAGTGGTGACAGCTTAACCATAAATGCTAGACAGAGTGGTTTGAAGCTGCCCAGGAAGGTCACCCAACTTTTTCTTTCTTCTTTTTACCTTTTTAAAGAGGAAAGTGTCATCGGTGGGAGGTGGAAGAGCTGAAATTACACCCGTTGACAGAGAAATAGTGGAGAAACTGTGAGGCTGGGGAAAACTGTCCTTGCTCACTGACTTCACGGGGACTGTAGTGCTGCGGAGCTGGTGAAGATTAACCTACAAAACTTTGGGAAACCTGCTGACTCTTCCCCCACACCACCCCCAAAATAGAAAAGAAGATCTGGAGCTCAAAGAGAATGCTGAGCTCCAGAAACCTGAGTGGTTCTATGTGAGAAGATTAAGGAAATCTTGCCATTGCATGTCACCCTATGGGAACTATTTTACAGCCCTTATTTTGGTGTTAGTTGTATGTGTATCAGATGCTTTTAGAAGCATCCTTTTCACTTCAGTTTCTCAAAATTCCTTTTAATTGGGGGTGGGGAGATGTTCATCCCCTTTTTAAATCAAGTTTTGAAATTTTTGTGACTGAAAAATTGAAACGTTTGATCTGTTTATGTGTGTAAGAAATGTTTATACAGTTTGTACATGCAGCTGTTGGATGGGAGTAGTACTGAAAGTCCCATACTGTTACACATGAAGATGTTTTGATACATCTGGGAAAATGTAAGCAAGTAGGTCAGTGGATTATGACTTAATGATTTGGAGCAGAGGCAGAATTTGGGGGAGTAGTGGCAAGGCATTGCTGGAGAAAAAGTAACAAATGGAAAATCTGAATGATGACTTAGGCTAAAAATATCAATGGAGAAAGCTGAACAAAATTAAATGTATGTATATGGCAACCACTTCTTGGCCACTGTAATGTTGGGGACTTGGCTCAGAGGTGGCTGAGGTGAAGAGGCACTTGTAGGAGTTAGGCTGTGAGCAAGGGTCTGTTCTGTGTTAGTTTTTGTGATCGACTGTCGTTGTGCTGTGGTGACGACTCTTGGCCTTTCCCGTTGGGACTGATAAATATTGGTGGGAACACCTATGGGCGCAGCAGGCTGTTTTCATCCCCCCCAATAACTTCAGCGAGTTCAAGTTGTCAGGAGGCTCTGACCTTGACGGCATAAACCATAGAGCTTTGGGGGAATATCTTCCAAAGGGAAAGTTGTTGGCCATCTCTGTACCGTCACAGTGAAGAATTGCAGGACAAGAGCAAGGGTTAAAGCTCTGAGTAAGAACAGCACGGGAGCCCACCCAGAGAGATGTACCTGTGCGCCTCTTCTCTTGCAGTGCATGCATGAGTATGTATGTGTACATCTCTAAAATTCACTGCTGCCTAATTTCCCTTCTTCAAAATATCAACCAATTTCTAGTGCCAAGAAACCTAATCATCTATTTATTAACATAAGACAGACAGTAAGTTTGTGTGGGGAAATGTTAAAGCAGTGCACATTGATCATGCTGATTTAGGACTGTACTGCCATCGCAGCATTTCCGGAGACAAATTCTTTGCAGCTAATTGCATTATAAATTCCGCTAAACCATTTTCATAAGGTATTTTCCTAAGATATAAACCCTCCATCGAAAATAAAACCAAAAAGAGCAAAGGAGCAGTTGTGGGTTTTTTTTCCTAATTAAATGTTATATGAAAGTAAGACAAGAGAGAGAAAAAAATGCAAATTGTGTTAATTAAATGCTAAGTCTGCTGTAAGGGGCTAGTTTTAAACACCGTGGGACGTGTTGAAACTCATACAGATTTTCCAACTGAAAGCCAAAAAAGTAGACTCCTGAGATCTTTGTCCTCAGATCAAGATGGTCGTGAGCCATCCCAGGTCAGGATTTTCATGTCGCCAAGTTTCAGAGGTGGTAATCCTGGCATGTCATGAATCTTAACCATCCTGAAAAGTGACCCAGGTGAGGCCTGGATGCTGGACCACCTTCAAGAGAGCCCAGGGAGTGGGGCAGTGGGAATCAGCCTCTTCCTCCTGCTGTGGTGGACCATGGCCATGGGGTTACGCTGCCTGCAGTGGGTATCCTGGGCTAGAGACACCGATAGGAAATAGCAGTCATGGTGTACAGCCGGTATGAACACCTGTGGCGTTCACCAGAGAGCAGTTCCCCCAAATACTCAGTGGTAGTACTTAGCAAAATGCATTTCTACAGGGGATCTCAATCGTTTTTATCAAGCTGGGTCAGAAGACGCTGAAGCAGAGAGCGAGTTAATTGGATTTCCCAAGGAAGCATAGCAAGCAGCGGAGGACTGAGCCTGGCTTCCTTGTTTCCCAGCCTCCAGCACAAAGCAGCAGACTTGTGCCCACGCTATTTTAATATTTCTTTGGGTGACTGGGAGCAAAGCATGACATTTCTTTTCTTCTTTCCATATCGAAGGACACAAATCCTCATTCCTTGGAAATATTTGTCACTTTGACCGTGCCTATACAAATTCTCTCCTTGGTTCCTACAAGTGACGTGCTGTCCAGGCAGGCAAAGATCACAGCCAGACCAGGAGGAGGCTAAGTCTCCTCCAGATTTCATGTATGAGATGTTTCAGGTAGTGCCCATTTCCAAAAAAGTAATTCGGTAGTTCAGCAGTTGGGAAATTTCTTTGCCAGGGTACTTTTGCCATAGGAAAGCCTTTCCTCCCAATGTCTTGTATGAAACTGGGAGTTGCAGCTCCCAGGGTAGCTGTAGCTGTCAGTCTGCTATCAGATTAGAAGAAAGCATTTTCTTTTCTTCCTCCTCCTCTCCCGCTCCCCATGCAGTAAAATTACTCGATTACAAAGAAATTGGGAGATAAATACACTGCCTGTAGTCTTGTCTTTGAGCCTAGGGGTGCTCTGATCATTTCAGCGGTCACAGCTGGGATGTGGCTAAGCCCTGACTGTGCCATGGGCACGTGCACAGGGCGAGACCCCCCTCACCTAACTGTAGCCTCCTAAAAGTCAGGCACCCACTGTCAGCAGGTCGCCCCACTGCTGCCAGGGCTGGGGGGGACAGGGGCCCCCCAGAGGGCAATTTTCATCCACAGCTGCCTTCATGCAGGAAGGAGGCTTCTCCCTGGCTTGCTGACAGAGCCCCAGTGCCTGAAGTTTAGGTGGCTGAAGTTAGATGGGTCGAGTAAGACTAATGGAGCTGGGTATTGCATGGGCTTGAGCATTAGTTAATTAATTTTCATCTTGCCCTGAGCTGGGTCGTGTACGAGCTGTTTGTCTCAAGGGGGAACTGAGGTAAAGTGGTTCCCCCAGGAGCATCTGGTTGTGGCAGAACAACCATTAGGTCCCAGGACTAATTGCCTCATTAGACCTCTCCATGTCTCTGCTCCAGACAGGAGAGATGCTCATGCCCTCTTTAAATGTGCTGTGCCCTGATCATGAGGATGCTGTAGCAAACAGGCCTAGTGTTGACTCCCAAATCAAAGGAGTAAGTTCCCTGCATGACAACCGTTAAAGGTGCACATAGGAGCGACACAGGCCAGAGATAGTATAAGAAATTTAAGCCAGGGGTTAGCTGAAACAACTGTCATAAATGTTCCTCAGCCAAATTCACAGAAATCAGATGACTATAAAGATGAAGGCGAAAGTGCCATAAAATTATTGCATCCCTCCCCCGCAAGTGGAATTTCATCCTTACACATAGGTGATGGCTGGCATAGCAATGGGCTTTAATCTGAGGGGAGGGGGACGTCTGCTTGCTGGTGGGAAGAGTAATAGTAATTCTTGCAAAAAGCAAAATTCTTGCAAAAGGGGGGGAAGAGGGGAGGGAGAAAAGCCCCATCTCTAAATTTTTATGGTAAAAGGGGCATTTGTGGTTCGCATTTTTTATGTTGTTGTTGCCAACAATTGTTACGTGGTTGTTAAATTTTTTTTTAAGTAATTTTAGTTTTTCCAAAAGTGACCATGATTTGTTACTTATACTGTAGCTTACAGAAGTGACACACTTAATATCGGGGGGTCCAAACCTGGATATCTACCAATGGAGATGGAGATCAGGTAAATGCACACCTGCTCTTCCAAAGAGAAAAAGCTGCCGTTTGGCAACTGGTTTGAGAGGGAGCTGCAGGCTATAACATGAGCATTTTGGAAGAGATTAGATTGAGTGCTGCCATTAGTCACCAACTTTTGTGTCTGCCCAGCATGGTTTTGTGTGACAATGATGTTCAGACAACACGCCATCTACCAGGAGACTCCGGGTCCCTGGAGAAGGCTCTGGGCTCTGGCCCTAGCAGTAGCTGAGCACAGGTCCACCGAAGGAGACCTGGCAGGAGCTGTGGTCCCCCCCAGACTAGCCCCATAGCGAGTACGATGTACCGTCTTACTCTCCCAGCCGGAGGGAAGGTGGTGGTGGCTGCAACAGAGACCGTGATGGAGAAGGCAGGTGAGAGGGAGGTGTCTGCAGGTAGAAAAGAGTAATTATGTGGCACCATTGCCATGCCTGTCATCTCCTCTTCTCTTTTACAGACACTTAACAAGAACAATTTGATACCAGACGACAGGACCAACTTCTACCCGTTGCAGCAAACCAATGTGTACACGACAACCTATTATCCCAGTACACTGAATAAATATGACTACAGGCCCGAGGCCTCCCCTGGAAGGACCTTTACCAACAGCTGATGATGGACAGATCCTACAGGACTGGATCACTTCCTATATGAATTTTTTTTTAATTGATTTTATGGACCAAATACTGGCTCAGCCTCTAGATGTAAATATTGTACAGTAGGGTCTTTTTATTTCCTTTGGTTAATTGTATTTCTTGTAAACAGCACATCTCCTTACAAGGACAAAAATGCATATGGACCATTCTGCAGAGCTTTTGTGGATATTTGGCTGGAGATGGCTCTTACTACTGCAACCGTTTATGGCTGGAAGATCAGTGTTCCTGTCCAAGGCCAACGTTGTCAAGGAGGTGGCTGTGTGCTGGGCTCAGTGGCCACCACGCAGCAGCACACGACACACGGGTGCACTCTAAGCAAGGCAAGAGGTGGCCTCCTGGGGCAGGAATCTGTCTGGTGAGGAGCGTCCTTCCTGAGACAGGGTAGCAATGGTGCGCTGGATGACACGCAGCTCATGAGGCAGGCCGAGTGGGATTCCATCGTGCCAACAACTTGAAGAACGTTTTCTTTGTCTTTTCCTTTTTTTATTTTTGATTTTTTTTATGTTTCTGCAAAAACAAAAAAAAAAAAGTAACTTTCTAGGGCAGTCTTCCCTGTATCTTCAACAGAATCTTTTCATATTACAGGAAATACTCTGCGCAGCCTTCTTTGGTAATATGCAGTTCAGCTGATGAGAACCAACACACAACAAAGTGCATTACCCAAAGAAGCTTTCCAGAATGTTTCCAGTCTTAATTAAAAGAAAATTATACAGGCAGTGAGACACTGAGAAAAGTAAATGTTGGAATAACATCGGAGACATGAACTTGGAGTGCCTAACAAACAAAGATGTTTATATCACTGGAAAAAAAGATGTGATGATTGCCGCACAAGAGCCATGGGCTTTTTTTCTTTCTTCCTTTCTCTTTTGTTCTGACATAGTGTTAACTCTTTTTGTTCTAGCTTTGATCCTGATTGCGTCTGCCAGAAAAGGCAACTTTAGAGGCCATGCTCTTCTTGGGAAATCACCATGCTTTGGGCTAATTTTTCCTCTAGGTTTATTGTTGGTTTTTAGTTCATTTACTTTCAAAGAGTGAATAATTCTGACTTTGCAGGGGGAGGGTATTTTTGTAAGGAATGTTTCCATAGTCTGACACGACCCAGAAAGTCTGCTGCACATTCTTATAGAGTCTTCCAGTCAGTACTCTATGAAATAGTAACACAGCTGAGTAATGTGCATTGTTTGCCAATATTTCTTTAATTTTTCTGAACAAAAACAACCCAAGAAACAAATGCTGCTGCAGCTATTGGGGCAGAAGCATTATTAAACAGTATATCCAGCCTTGAAATGTAATTTTGTGTATGTGTGTGACTGTGTCTATAAGAACTGTATTAGTTTGATGCAGAAGCCATGTTGTCTACAACCAGATGTTTGTCTGACATAATTGTTTGGCAAAAAGGAAACTTATTGCTGGTGCTTAATGTACAATTACATCCAATGTGTTAGCAACGTGAACAAGTTCACCACTGTTATCATTCAGTGTTTCTAAATATTTATAATGAACTCCTGATGCTAAGGATTTTAGAATGTTTCATACTGAGCATGAGATAAAAGTACACCCCGAAACGCGCATGAGCTCCACGTGGTTCTGAGCTTGGCTTTGTCGTCTGCATCTTACTCGAGCAATTGCCATGCCCGTGCCTGGCCATTTGCTCGGCCATGTTCCCAACGGTCCCGTTTGTCTTTGCCTTATTTCAGATTTCGCTGTAAGCTAACACCAATCGTTTCTCGGTGCTGTTCCTTTGCAGTTGCTTGTTTGGAAGCCCAGCATGGGCTGTGTGCTCAGCTCTTTCACGTAGGCAGCCAGTAGGAAATGAAGAAAGACTGTGTTGCTCGTGACAAGTATATTGCTTTTCCTGCGAGGAAAAGCCAACATGGCTCTGTAAGCCTGTGTTATGGTGGTTTGACCAGAAGGCAACAATAAAGTAGCCTCCCATTTTTAAATTACTTTGTTCGACTTCAGTTTGCAGTGATTGAAGGCTGCAGGGATATTTGTAATAAAGTGGGGTCATTAGCACTGCCTGAGGAAGCCTTAGGCTCAGTGGTGCCCATCATTTCCAGCAGCTGTTTTTCTAATTTAGCAGCTCATCCTGCTTCTGCTCTGATCTCACCGGGTGAAAGAGAGGGAACAGAGGAAGAGAGAGAGAGGGGTGCCCTTAAACAGATGTACTTGCATTTGAAGCAGTGAGGTCAGGAGCTGATGCAGACCTTGAAGCTCTGTCTGAAGCAAACTGCTGCAACCCTCCAAGGAGGCACAGCGGCTCGGCAGCCCTAACCCCGCCTGGCAGCGCGGCCGGGGCGAGTGCGGCAGGAGTGAAGCAGGATCTCCGGGGAAGCAGGAGAGCACTGATAGCAGGTACCAGCGCCTGCAGGGGGGCTCTTCCCAGGCCCCTAAACCCCATTTGAGGAGCGATGTCTTTGTGACTCATGCCGTAACGAGTTCACCCCGTCTCACTGAATTTCCGCGTCCCCCTCAGCAACGCTGAAAATCCTCACTTAAAGTAGTTCTAAAATGTATGTAGCCCAGGGGTTGAAAATTATTACATTAGACTGTCAGGATGGGATTTTCCAGCTTTAATTTATGGGGTTCGGAAGTAAACACTGGCTCCCAAGATCACTCTAGCCATTGTAAAATTAAAGCCATCTCCAAGCTTCCCCTTCAGAAGATGCCCTATATCGACACATTCTGCAATTACCATGAACATGGTAGGGTTGCAGCTGGAGTTTGGGGGGATGCGAGTGAGTCAAACCTTGCAATTACTTTAATTTTCTATTTTTCCTTTCTTTTTCTTTTTTTTTTCCCCTCCTTAAAAATTTTTCCATTTTCGGCATCACAGAATGACACAATGTAAACTAATATTTTTTGCCAAAGTGCCACATAGCAGCTGAAATTATTTAAATGATCAGCTCACCAAGATAGGGCATTACTGCGATTGCGCGCAGGGGGTGGATATTTTGTAGGCTATTGGAGGGCAGATGCTCTGAGGGTGGTGCGTGTGGATATAGTTTCATTAAGACATTCCTTCTTACCAGCCGTCCAAATGGATTCAGCCTTTTTTCATATAATTGGCAATCACAGCAAGGGTCTGTAGGCTCCATTCGAGCAGAAAGTAGAATCCAGGAGAGAGCGAGAGAGAGTGAAAGAAAGAAATCAGTACGCTTATTACTGAATTAATGTTTGCATGAGAGTGCAGGTTTTTTAAGGACGATGTTAATGTGGTGTGAGTGTTGCTTTTTTTTTTATGAGCTCTCTAATATGTGGCAGGTTAATGACACCGTGTACAGTGATATTCTTGCAATCGAGGTAATTCGGCAGCTTGATCATCAGGTCTGTAACATATGTAGCAGCTTGAACTGCTCCTGCAGCTGGATGTTAAACTTGCTAAAATTTCCTGTTCCTCCGGCCATCTTACAGTACAAAGGAAATGCATTTAGTTTGGGAGCATTGCTTTCCAAAAGACTTATCTTGCTATATATATGGTTTTTTTCTTTCACGTCTAAGATAGAGAGGGGGGACCCTGGGCAGTTGCTGTGTTGATCTAGAGACATCAGTTCTCTGGAAACCCTTCAGATAGGATTCACGTATACAGTATGGAATATTATGGAAATCTTGCAGCCAAGTATGTAGCAGAAACATCTTTCATTAGGCCATTCTTCTTTCTTTTTCCATGGAAGTGGCTGCCTTTCTCCCTCCTGTCAAAGAAAAAGCTGTCAGGCTTTACTTGATCAGCTGTCACCCACCAGAAATAACTTGTGCAGCTCATTAACAGACAAACCACTTGACGATGAACCCACAGCGTAAGAGGTGCTGTTGCTCCGAAGGTGCACTTGAATGTTCAGCGTATGAGCCAGGGCTGCTCTTAAATATATGAACTGTACAGATACTATAGGAGAAGAATATGTATTGTCTTACCACCACTGTTCCTAATGCCTTATGTTCAGAACATGATATGGTTGGTTTGAAGTCAACAGAGAGTAGGAATGGAGTCCACGTCTGATGCAGACACTTTGACGCCTCCAGTGTTAATCTGATGTTAAGCCCACCTGGAGAGAAAATTGCTGTCCACTGAGATTGATTTATTCTTTGTACCAAATGTAGTGGGGGGAGCGTTATATATATA